GGCGGGCCTCGTAGCTTAAGTGTCTAGAGCGTCGGCTGAACGCCAGCCTCGTCCCGGTTGTCGTGGGTTCGATTCCTACCAGGGTTTCTTGCAGTTGGATCAAATACACTATTCCAATCTACAAAAAGCACCCAATAACCACCAGAAAGCCTATCAAAAATGCAATTTTGGGGATATTAATTTGCTCTGTACAATCTTCACAGGCGGACAAGCAGGACTATCCAGAGTCCATGATAAGACAACGCTTTTACTGCTCACCAGTTTGTCGGTGAGTCAACAGGCGTACAAATAATAATGTTTCTCATTACAAACACGGGCAAGGACACTTTGGAAAAGAAGTTATACTAGTCAAAACACACTAAATAAAACCAAAGGCATCAGTTCACATACAAACGCACCTCGAGTTTTAAATACTAAACTTTCGCTGGTAATGGATGCGAAATGAGGGGCTCAGTATGCGCTGAGCCAGGCAATAGGGATCATTTTGTCTGACTCAACTTGCATACTCATGTCAGAGCGCAATATCTATGAAAACAGTGCAAATCAGCTGCTTCGACCTGTGTCCTTGACCCAACCCAGTTAAGTCACTGGATAAAAGAAACAGCTGCATGTAGCAGGTCAAACGCAGATTAGCATGGTTACGTGCGAAACGAAGATTGCAGATGCAGACCCAGGAGACTTTCATATAGTTTGATCAACGGTCACAGCGACAGCTGTGTTCATTTAAGCCTCACTCACTGTCTGTTCCCAGCGGGCGGGAGTCGATTAGGGATAACGGTAGTTCTCTGAACTGATTTATCCTTGCGTACTCACCTGTAAAGACAACTTGTCGTAGGACTTTTAACAAATCGCAATTTCTAATATCAATTCCGATACAGCAATCGTCCCGGGTTTCTCTGCTGATTCCAGTATGGAAGAGATTCACTGAATAAATTAGAGAGCTGCAATCTCAATTTAAAACTCGGCCGCGCTGGATGCTGTTAGGTCAGAACTGCAGTGTCATAGTGTTAAAGTTACTTGATCAACCTCCATTAGTCGACCAAAGAGCTAATTATAACCTACAGTAGTTTTCACGTTCGAATTTACTGACACACTGCGCGGGTGACAGTGCTGTCGGCGACCGCTTTTATCATCCATAACTGGCATTCCAACTTAGTTTCAAAAGAATTCGAAGCCTCAGTTTGGAGTTCGATAGTGTAGAAGAACCCTGGCTCGTTATTTAAACACATTGATAGTTTATCAAACTAATTTGATCCGTTATGACCCCCGGCCACATGACGTTGGCAATGAGGGTCAAGACTTCGAAGCTCATCGAGATGACTGATATTTCAGTCACATGAGAAGGCATACAGATACAAGAACATCACATTGATACAATTGAAATTCGCTGCTTCGTACTGTTTGAGATCGTGTCCAAGTTGAAAGCAGTCAGTTGAATAGAGAGGATGGGGCAGCCGCGCAACACAAGTCAATATTGCGCCATCAAGACAGTTATCTTCCCCGGCAGAGCGCTCGAATATTACCCTCTGGTAGTCCAAAAACACCGCTACGTCGTGGCTTGCCGGTTCCGTGGAGAAACTAAACGGAGAGAAGACTTCTTGTCGTCCCTGGATCCGCAGGTGAATGTTTCTACTAAACCCCTCACCCCCTCATCCAGAATGACATTTAAAATGCCCATGATTTTGCTACCTAGCGTATGAAATCATATAGGATGGTAGACAACACTCATCATGCCGGGAGAAAAAAGTGAGTTGTGACTTTTTAGCAGTCAATCGGCGGTCAGCCTCAACCGAGGGTACTACTGCTACACAACCGACGACTGCTTAATAGTCGGGCCTGCAATGTCGGAAGATGATTTCACTAAAGGGGTCTATCTGGTGGCGTGCGCTTAAGCCCGGAAATAAACTAAAGGACAGACATCATATTCATCGGGGATCTCTTCGTCGCGATGCTAATCAGGGTGCCCACAAAATGGGTCGTTAAGTGAGCCTACCGCCGATGGAGGGGGTTAAACTGACAAAGATAATAACAGGAGGAGAAATAACTCTAAGCAGGCACCTTGTGTCGGATTTCATTCGGGTCTGGAGATGTTTGCGCGCATATGACAGCATTGTGTAACGCTACTGTCATCCATCTCTGCTTCCGTTTTAGGCGTTGCCTTAATCCCATAACCTTTCCACTGACAAGCAAAGGAGTATTATGACCGTTTTCTTTTACTCTTCCCCGTCAAGCTCTCAGGTGTTGCCGCAGCCCCTAGGAACACAAAAACAAATTTACCCCAGGAAATGATACTCGCTCTGAAGCATAGAATGAACAAGTCGCTAACCCGATGAAGTGTTTAAGGTCGACGATTCGTTTTGGTCTTGTCGAGAACACTACGCGAACTCCTGATGCGCAGTGTTTCGTAAGGCTTCCAGTCACCTATCTGTTTGCTATTTGCGTAGCTGTGGAAAAGTGGTCTAACAAAGCAACTCCTCCGGAATTGAAAAAATTCTGATCAGATGCAAAAATCAAACAGGAAATATACTTTACTGAACAAAACTTGATTCAAAGGTTTCCATCTTATTAGTGGAAAAGGGTAGCCTGGTGGCAGAAGGCGCCAGAAAATGCACATACAACTTCACACTGACTAACAGATGCAAAGATGCTAGATGAGGACCAAAGTTGTTCGCAGTCAGACCATTTGAGTATCCATAAAAATAACTCGACGTAAAAAAAAACATATTGCGCTGTTGCCTTAACGAGCAGATTTTTTTAAATCCCAAATTAGCTCACGGGTCAAGAGCGGAGCGGTTTGATACTGCACGAACCTCCACATGAACGGTTAAATAAGACCTACGCAAGCAAATGGATCACGCTGTAAGGCGGGCATCCCCACGACTGAGCCCAACTTCTCCACCCTCAAATCACTAAACTACACTTTGCTGAAATACCTCTATAAAAAAAACTACGTCTAGTTATGAAATCCGGCCTTGCAATTATTTCCTCTTGTAGCCTTTTGACGTCAGTCCGTGTTCTTTGGACCTCCGACTTTTCCTTTGAAAGCAGTGGAGGACGGTCGTGGTGACAACCATTTCTGCCTTTTCTAAAGCCACGCCAATTTTAGAAGAAATGTCACCTTCCCAGAATTCACAATTAGTGTTTTGGCCTACATTTGTGACAAATACAGTAGCCGCCGAAGACCATGCAAGGCTAATTATGAAATTGGCCTGGACGCTTTGGCATATAGTTGAAAACACTATCGTGAAAACACTATTGAATTCTGCAAAAACCTTTTAATTAGTTAAATCATCATTTTAGCAT